TTCATGGCTGCTTCATAACTAATTTTGCTACAGTTATGAATCATAGTATAAATATCTAATACACAGATGGTCTTAGGCAACCCGTATGAGATGGTCTTTTGATGTCCCCAAAGGGGTCATGACCCACAGGTTGAGAACCCCTGCTCTATAGGATGCCCTGGCTAGGACAGGTGAAAGCCTCTCTGCCCACCCAGGGGCCGCATCTTGATTCTCTAGACGGCACTGGTCCCTGAGGACAGCTGGCAGAGGCTGTGCTGGGAGCACCATGGCTACCTCGAACCTTTCCTCCCCCCACTCTGGGCATCTGTCACTGTTCTCTCCACAGGAGTCGGGGAGATGGGGGAGGGGGGGTAAGAGGCCACTGTCAGCCGCTTCTGGGGAGAACTATGGAAAGCTGTGGAGGGCAAGTTGCCTTGGTGAGACAGGCTTCTTTGGAAACGCCTATGTCCACCGGGTCCTGCACCAAGTGCAGTTTGAGGGAGGACCACTGTGGAGTCAAGATGGCTGCCCAGAAGGACCCCACCCCAGAGTGGCTGCGGTGGAATGAAGTAATGCCTAGTGTAAAGCAGATGTTGTGACTCCCCAGTTTGTGTGAAACTCAGAACACAGCGGGGTGGGGTCCCCTTCTCCGCAGGGCGCTGGCAGCTGTGGCTCTTGGACTAGTGACCACCGCCTGACGGCCAGGCATGAGCGGAGGCGGAAGGGTCCCTGCTTGGTTATGTAACATTCCTTTGCCCGGCTCGGCTTCAAGAGTCTGGACAGTGTGGTCTCCAGAGGGAGAGAAATGACAGATGGATTTACCACTAATGCTGAAATCATGCAGGGCAAGGAAACCAGACACTGAGGGGCCTGGACAGCTGACAAGCTGGCTGGAGGGCTTCGCCGGAGCCAAAACTTGAAGTCACATGGTGCCCAGGCAAGCTGACTTGGGCACAGGGTGAGCACCTGCCCATCTTCCTGCTATGCTCTTCCAGAAGCTGCTGTGTACTGGAGACAAGGTGAGGGCAGGCTGCCTGCCTAGAGCTGTTTCACATGTGCCATGCTGTCTCCATGAGCACCGACAGCTTCCTCCTGGGCATCCCTGGTTCTGAAGGACCACGGCCAAGCACACTCCTTAGTCACTGGCTGGGTGGTGGGTGAGCCCCTCCCCACCGTGCCCCAGCCTCGGCAGGGCAAGGAGATGCCACTTGAACACTTGCTGTGGAAATGATAGGCTGAGCATATCCAGACCACAGGGACAAGGCTGAGGCCACCTGTGGGGAAGGAAGAAACGGGACACTGGTTTTCAAAGGAACAGTTCTGAAGCCCTGGGGCCTCTGCTGGGTTTTGGAAGAAGGGAACAGAGAACCCAGAGCTGATGAAAAACAAGTGATGCAACTCCAAAGGGACCACAGCTGGAACTGGACACATCTGGAAAGGCAGCGAGGGCAAGATGGCTGGATGCAGTCCGCTCCAGCTACAGCCTGTCAAGAACGAGTTTTCAAACGGGGAGGGACACAGGGAAGGCATTTTATAAAGACTGGATGGTAAGATTCTTTCCTCCAGCATGTCTTCCCAAGGGCTTGGAAAAGCAAATCCCACAGAGCTCCTGTTTTGCTGACTGTCTGGGTAGGTCTCCCGCCCCAGTGGGGCACACCCATAAGCCAAGGGTATTCCCCCTGAATGGAACCACCTGCCACCTGCCAGCAACTTCCTGTTCTAGCCTCAGTTTCTTGCTCTGTGAAACAGGGATCTGCCCCTACTTCACAGGACCATGGGATGGGTAAGGGATAGTGTTGTACTCAAGGTGCACTGGAGGCTAGGATGATGTGGGATGGTATTCCTTTCTGTCAGAGAATGAACCATGGAACTCCAGCACTTGGGAGGCAGAGATGGGCAGATTTCTGTGAACTGATGCCAACTTCACCACAGTGAGTTCCAGGTCAGCCAGGACTACATAGAGAGGTTCTATCTCAAACCAACCAACCATCCCACCCCCAAATTTGCTCTGAACTGCACCAAACAGGAGAATTCTACTATCACAAATCTTCTTTGTTTGCTACCCCCCCCCACCCCTTAGTGAAATCCAGAGCGGGTGAAGGTAAGCCTGCCTCTTCACAGACCACAACAGGGGCGGTGTCCACTCAGGAGTCGACTGCTTGAGTTCTGGCCACTCAGACTCAAACGCTTCAAACTGGCTCAAAATACTTGCCTCGCCAGAGAGCTGATTTCCAGAGGCCCACAGGAAATGACCCTAACTCACACAGAGGTCACCTCGTCACTGCCAAGTAAACACTTCATAAACTGTGAGCAGCGTGATGTTTCTGGAGCCCCCTGGCTGGTCCGCACTGGCACCTGAGGTGAGGCGGTTAGACTGTCCTGGCCTTCCCAATGCCAGTTTCTCTTCTTGCTGACGCGCACCCTCCTCTCCACACTACCACACACGCAGAGGGGCCTCCAGCTGGCGGAGAAGCCCACGGGCAGCCCCAGTCCTTGAGGTGAGCCTGAGATGTCTCCCTGACCTGCACACAGGCCTCAGCTGAAGCGCGCACACAAACTCCCGCACTGCTGAACTGTAGAAAGTCTGGGACCTTGGGGCCTTCCAGGTGCCTCCTAAGGCCAACATAAGCAAAGTTTCCTTGTTTTCAGCTGGAGAGTTCTTTTCTGGACTTGAGGATGTAAACATGGAGTCCAACAGGGAAAGAACACGAGGGAACACCTAGACTGAGACAGCGGCTCTGAACGTCACCTCTGAGCCTCTTCTCCAAGGATTAAATCTTAGAAGGCTCTGGAGACCCAGTGCCCAGGACCTGAGTCTAACCCTGCCTGACTCGCCCCAGGTGAAGAAGACTGCGGAAGCCCAGAGCTGACCTCTCATGGGCCTCTGACTTACAACCTCTGAAACCCCAACTGCTTCACAGTGGGGCTTGTGTGTGGACAAAGCTCTGTCTTCCTCCAGCAGCCACACAAAGGCTCCACTCTCTCAGGGAAAGCTCCTCCACGCGCAGCTCACACTCCATCCTGGGCTTGTGAGGGCTGCTTGTCTTTCACAAACCACCCCAGCCTCCTTAGAGCCCTCTTTGCTTAACCCCACTTGTCCTCCCCACTAGTGGTTCATGAAATTCAAGGGACCAAGGGCCTGGCAAAAGGTACAGGGTCCCTCCATCGATGGGCGAAGACTCCACAGAGGGTCGCAACTTCCATCACCACGGACTGCGCAGGCCCGTGCAGACCTACTGTGCAGCTTTCTGACTTCCGCAATCTAGAACCGGAGGCCGCTCAGTTTGGTTTATCTTCATCTTTGTGCGGCATGATCAGTGGTCAAGTACCTAGCCATGTCAATAAAGGACCAATACGAGGGCAGAGGAAGCTGGGTGTCGTGGTGCATTAATTTCTATTAATTTCAGCAATAGAGAGGGAGAGACAGGTAGAGATCCCCGAGTTCAAGGCCGGTCAGGTCTACAGGAGTTTGAGACTAGCTGAAGCTACACAATGAGAAACCCTGTCTCAAAACAAAACAAAAAAAGGGGGCAGAGAAAGCAAAAAGAGCATTCTTGCCGGGAGGTGGTGGCACACACCTTTAATCCCAGCGCTTGGGAGGCAGAGGCAGGTGGATCTCTGTGAGTTCTAGGCCAGTCTGGGCTACAGAGTGAGCTCCAGGACAGCTAAGGCTACACAGAGAAACCCTGTCTCAAAAATTCAAAAAAAGAACATCCTTATTATTTGCACTGTTTGATGAAGATACCCCAAAAGCACTTGGGGGAGCAATAAGCACAGAGGATCACTAGTTAGGATAGTTGTGCATCCTGATAAAACCAACAAGTCACCTTGCCTCTCAGTGTGAAGGCAGGATCACTCACTGTAGGACGGACCACCATGAAGTGAGCCGCACACTGATGGCAAACACTTTGGCTCTGCAGCTCCTTCCCCAACCACATTACATCAGTTTGAGGCTGCTGAAAAATATCTCTGTAGAAAGTCAGGCCTAAAGATCAAACTCAGGGAGGTGCCTGTCTCCCTCAGGCCAGTTATTCTAACTCATTCCTTCTGAAGGGGGTGGGGCGCCGGAGCAGTTGACCCGGTCAGGGCACTGCAGCATCGAGGGTGCTGGCCAGCGAGAGGCACAGGCACCTGAAGATTCAGAACTCTAGCCCAGTCTCCAGGACCCACCACCAGAACCCCAGGAGCCATGGGGTTCTGGGAGCCAAGGGACACTCTCCTTTTCCTCTTAGGGATGCGGGGACTGCCTCACACATGCTAGGCAAGCACTCTACCACTGAGCTACATCCCTAGATCTAGGAGGTACACTGGGGGGTGCTGAGACAGTCTCACTATGTAATCCTTGGCAAATCTAGAACTCACTACATAGATAGGCTAGCCTAGTACACACCATGATACCTGGTGTTAGCAGGCACTTTTTTTAAAATTTATTTATTATATATACAATATTGTCTACATGTATGCCTTCAGGTCAGAAGAGGGCACCAGACCTCATTACAGATGGTTGTCAGCCACCATGTGGTTGCCGGAAATTGAACTCAGGACCTTTGGAAGAGCAGGCAGTGCTCTTAACCTCTGAGCCATCTCTCCAGCCCTAGCAGGCACTTTTAAAAATGCAATTCTGGCTATCTGATCCTACCCACACTGGTTCCAAATTCATTCTGCTTGTCAAACTGTAGGAGTTTTTAAAGCCAGTCATGATTTCCCTTTTGTACTTTTTAGTACAGGGTGATGTGGTCAGGGAAAATAGTGGACAGATTCACCTGGTGAAGGATGCGGTGTCAGCACCCATTGCTGCCCCTCCACTGCCGAGAAGCCAGTGAGGAGCCATGTCCACACACACAGAGGGAACCACTAAGCCATTTCTAATACCTCAGTGTTCAAAGGCCCGGGAGAGGACCGATGTGGACAAAGTGTTGGGTAGCAGCCCGGCTGCAGCCCTCCCCAGGGAATCTAGTGTCTCCAGCACACAGTGACAGCCAGTGCATCCAGGGCAGGTAACTAAGCAACAGACCCAAGGAAAAGGTTTTAGTGTTTTTATTCCTCCTCCCTGTTCTTTTCAGCCTGGTTTTCAGCTCTTTAAGCAGTTCTTATAGACAGTCGTTTCCTATTGCTCTGAGAGAGTGGTTCCATCGCAGATGACCAAAGGCTGGTCCGCTCTGGCTGCAACGTAGAGCTTCCAGTGGGCAGCATCGGCATAGCCTTGGAGGAAAACAGCAACAGGAAAGCAGTGAACATCAGGGTGAGGGACACCGGGCAGAGCCATGGTCTGCAGTCCTGCTGCTCTTGCTGGAAGGTCTCTGGGCTCTCTGAAGCCTGAGTACGCCTTGCTATTACTAGTTCTCTGTGACCTGACACTCCAAACCCAGACTTTTCTCTCCACCCTCTTCTGGGCAACTGACTCACACTCTGGCTGGTCACAGAGGCAGCCTGTTTTACATGAGGGAGGTATTAGCCATCAGGTCCCAGGCTGATAGTCTTTTTTTTTTTTTTTTTTTGGAAGTGGAGTGTATATTTGACAGGTTCCTGTTATGTAGTTTAGACTGGCCTCAAACTTGGGATCCTCCTGCCTCTTGAATGCTAGGACTTCAGGGTGCACACCACTATGCCCTGGTCTGGATGGGTTCTGTGGGGAACACTCAGCTATTCCTAAAATGATGTGCTCCAGCTCACACAGACTGACTTAAATTAGCATTCCCCAGCATGGCTCTGCAAAGCCTGTCTTGAGTATCTGAAGAGGCTTCCACGGTTCCAAGACTTCTTGGGGTCCATGTATCCTGTGCACTGGCTTCTGAAGTCCTATTCCAAGCCTTCTCGGGAGGCTCCTGTTTCCACGCACGGGCTGTTTGGAAAACTCAGACCTAGATCACCTGAGTGTGCTGGGAAGGTGACCTGCTGCCGCTCACAGGACTGTCCTGCATGCTCTAACATGGGACAGTGGATCATGCTGGGTGCGGGGCTACACCTGTATTCCAGCACTCGTAAGGCTGAGGCAGGGAGACTTTTGGGATTAAGGCCAGCCAGGATTACCCAGCCAGATCCCATCTCTCTCTCTTTTTTAAAGATTTATTTATTTATTATGTATACAGTGTTCTGTCTGTATGTATGCCTACAGACCAGAAGAGGGCACCAGATCTTATTACAGGTAGTCGTGAGCTACCATGTGGTTGCTGGGAATTGAACTCAGGACCTCTGGAAGAGCAGTCAATGCTCTTAACCACTGAGCCATCTCTCCAGCCCCAGATCCCATCTCAAAAGGGCCAGAAGTCAGCCAAGCAAATAAAGAAGTACACAAAAGTGGAAGGCTGGAGGGGTGGCACATCCCTGTAATGCCAGCACCGAGACGGAGGCAGAAGGACTACTGCAGTCTGAAGCCAGCCTGGGCTACCTAGTGATACCTAGGCCAGCCAGAACACATGGCAAGACTCTGCCTCAAAAGTTCAAAACAGCAAGTAAAATCATCTCATGCTAACCCTTTCTTTTCTCTCTCTTTCTCCCTCCCTCCCTTTCCTTTCCTTTCTTTCTCCTTTGAGACAGGGTTTCTCAATGTAACAGCCCTGGCTGTCCTAGAACCTGCTATGTAGACCAGGGTGGCCTTGAACTTACTGAGATCCACCAGTCTCTGTGCTGGGATTAAAGGTGTGCGCCACCACCGCCTGAACCCTTTCTTTTAAACATTACTAAGATAAACAGTCTCAACTGGAGAGTCAGTCTCTAAGGTGTGATGGTTGGTCAGTCTAGAAACTGACTAATACTTGGTGACTGAGGAAAGGTCACATGATCTTGCTGGGCCTGTGTCATGACAGCTGGTGCTGTGCCCGACATCTGTCATCCTTGATTATGTCTCCTTCCAGGATTCCTGGTGGATCTGTAATTCCAGCCCTCCACTTCCAGGTTAAAAAAACCAGCATTTTGGTTAAAAAACATAATCATAGAACAGCTTGTCCCAGTGCCATTCTTAAGGGGCCATGCTACACCCCTAAGTTACTCTTTCTCACCAACAGGCCTGACTCTCGACTCATCCTACCACCTATGGCGGCTGTACCTCTGTTCCTCTACTTGACTCCATTCCAACTATCCCCCTCCCAGCTCTCCCTTGCTTGTTCTGTGCCTGCCGTGAGCCTGGCCACTAAGGCTCTGCCAGTCAGGAGCCTGGCATCTGTGTTTTAGGCTGCTCTCGTCTATCAAACTTCCTTGGCAGCTGCCAGTCACCTCTTCTTTTTAAATCCTATAACCGGCATTCTGGATGCTTGCGAGAACTGGAAATCTAGAACCTGGAAAATTCAAGGTGCTTCCGAAGCTGTCTGAACAAAAGTACTTGTAGAAAGCAAGACAGAGAGACTTGTCTAAGTATGATCACAGATTTCAAACCCTGTTTTCTCTAACAGCCACTCAATATAGGGTCACTCCCCTGCAGGAAACGGCCTGCTGTTTCCACACACACATTCGCTTTTTACCGCAGTTTTGCACGGCCGGGCCAGACCAGCTGGGCCCCATTATTACTGTTCAGTCTGTGTCATACTTCCTCCCCTCGCCTACGCTAAAACAAAGGTTCTGAGATGTGGAGCAGAGCTTGGCACAATGCCAGCCCCTGGCCCTCACTGAGGTGAGAGTGTTCTAGGTACCTGGGACTTCTGATGGCCAATAGTAAAAGGTCCCAGCTGGAAGCTGGCCTCAGCCTGGCAGGGGCTCCAGATCTTGTGATGTAGCACCAACAGGGGCAGCAGTGGCATTTGCTGCCACCTCTGCTTCTGCCAAGAGGACTGCTGTCAACTGACTAACTCTGGAATAGGTTCTGAGGACACTGGTAGGAAGCACAGAGTCAGAATCGGGGTGCGCCACCAACTGAGCTGGGACTTGGCTGTGGGATGCACACAGATGTGATAGTGGCCCGTCACATCAAACTGACTCATTAGCAAAACAGGTATAAAGGCTTCCTACGACCTTGTCTTGGCTCTGCCCTGACATGCCTGTGTGACTTAATGGTGGGACACTGGGAAGGTCATTTGGCTCTCATTCCAACTTCCTCATCTATAAAATGAAGAATTATTCTAAATAACTTCCAGAATCCCTTTTAACTTGGAGTGGTTATGCCCAACAGACATCTACATTCTCAGAGCTGTTGGTACATGCGTCTCCCTGTTGTGCACGCGTCTCCTATGCTAGTTTACCTGTTCTCTTTTTAAGCATAATATATATTGACTCTGTTAATAAAATGTTACTTTTGATTTAACCAGATAGAACCTTCATATATTTTTGGATGTGAGCCTAACACCTGAGCCATCTGTCCAGTCCAAAGAATAGAACTTTCTTGAAGACATTGTTGATACTTAGAAATATTGTCTCTGTCCTCCTGGGTCCCTTCATACCAATATCTCCAGGTCCTATTGGCATGGTCACGAACTGACAGTGTCTTCGGCACTGGAAGGGAGGGATGAGCTGCAGCATGGCTTTCCCGCTGCCAACAGCAAACAGCTCGTGCACCTTACGCATCTGGAATAAAGAATGGATGCAGAAGAAAGAAGGAAAAGAATGAGTATTAGTGGACAAAACCCTTTACACATAATGGTTTTTTCTTTCCATCTCTGTCCTAGAACTCTGTGTAGACCAGGTCAGCTTTGGACTCAAGAGATTCACCTGCCTCTGCCTCCCAAGTGCTGGAATTAAAGGCGTGTGCCAAAATGCCTGGCCTTACATATGGCCTTGCGTTTCCTAGTAGGCTGAGCAATGAGGAAAACATGATTAATAACAAAATTTTTTTTTTTTTTTTTGGTTTTTCGAGACAGGGTTTCTCTGTGGCTTTGGAGCCTGTTCTGGAACTAGCTCTGTAGACCAAGCTGGTCTCGAACTCACAGAGATCCGCCTGCCTCTGCCTCCCGAGTGCTGGGATTAAAGGCGTGCGCCACCACCGCCCGGCCGATTAATAACAAATTTTTTAATTAATTAATGTATTTATTATGTATACAATGTTCTGTCTTGCATGTATGCCTGCCCGTCAGAAGAGGACACCAGATCTCATAGATGGTTGTGAGACACCATGTGGTTGCTGGGAATTGAACTCAGGACCTCTGGAAGAGTAGTCAGTGCTCTTAACCTCTGAGCAATCTCTCCAGCCCCTAACAAATTTCATAATTATCTCTAAAATAAAACAAACTAGTCTCTCCTAATCATGGTATCTCCTGGTACTGAGGCCAGGGTAAAAATCTCTTCTCTGGGTTATTTTTAATATTTTTTATTTTATTATCTGTATGCCTATGTATAGGTACTTCTGGAGCCTAGAAGAGGGAACCTAAGTCCTTGGAGCTTGAGTACTAAGAGTTGTGAGCTGCCCAATGTCAGTGCTGGGAACTGAACTTCGGTCTCCTGCAAGAGCAGAAATGTTCATACCATCTACAGGTTCTTCTAAGAGGAACTGCATGATTTACTGGGCAGCATGCTCAGTGACAGCCCAAGTGTCTCCAAGGCCATACAGAGCCATTTCACTGGCAACCAGGGGCACAGAGGCCTCCTATCTTGAGCTGGATTGCAGGAAATAAAAACTAACACTGGCAGATGCTTTGCCATCTGTAGTCCTGAAAGACTACATAAGACCACAACCAGGGGGTGCAGCCCTCATTCATAGGCTCAGAGGCTTGGGCCGTGCCCCTTCATGCCCAGGATGGAACAGACGATTGAGGGCAAGCCCTAGGCAATGCCGAGGAATAGGAGACGTAGGGCTGTGTAGTGACCAGACCCTACTTCTTCTCTATTCCAAGACTGACCTGGGACACTGGCTTTTCCAGGGCCTAGGGACCAGGAGGAGGACAGCAGGGTGGAGTACTGAGGCTGGGTGGGGACACACATGTTCTAAGAAACCCAGCTTGTGGGGCACACCCCACAAGATGACTGCGATAACCGTTTGAATAGCTGTATTACTCCCCTGGCTGGACTCCTTTGTGCTCAGCAAGCTCATGAAACTGACTTCAGTATTCAAGTGGGAAAACTGAGATAAAGTCCCTCGCCAAAATTCTATCATAATTATGAAGATGAAATCCTACTGGGGCCCTGAGGTCTAGCTGGACATAGCAGGCCAAATCAGTGAAGTCTGCAGCGAGAACGGCCCCTCCTGACACCGCAGGCCTTCCCTACACAGCAGCAGGCAGGCACTTACTTCTACACAAAGTAGGGCTTTTCTTTTTTTGGGGGGTGGGGGGTGGGGGAGCAGTTTCAAGACAAACTTTCTCAGTAGCTTTGAACCCTGTCCTGGAACTTGCTCTGTAGACCAGCTGGCCTCGAATTCACAGAGATCTACCTGACTCTGCCTCCCAAGTGTTGGGATTAAAGGTGTACACCAGAGAAGATTTTACAGGCTATGAAATTCCATCCAGACAGTTGAGCAAGCTTGGAACAAATAAGGAGTATTAGGAGGTTGCAGACACAAACCAGAACTGGTAGAAGGGCACAGGTAGGAAACTCATTCAAATTAATCAAAATTCTGAAACCATCTTCAGGAATGGGACTCCATAGAGAACAAATTCAGATAAAAGCAGACAGACCCAACACAGAGGGGCTTCTCCCATCCACTGGCCCTGCCCAATGGAAAGGCGGGGGGATAAACAGGTCAGCCCCGGCCTTCAAGTGCCATTCAAATGCTGGCCTTTCCTATTTGCTGCCCTGACTCTCTTGTTTGTAGATGGGGTTTTCAAAGTTCTCCTAAAGTTGGGTTAAAGGTTTCTCTCTGAGGTTCCATTTCCCTCCTGGCATAAAGAAAAGGCTGGGGCTATAAGGACACACTATTCATCTACAGCCTTGTCTACATTCTGATTTGAGGTAGGATGTCAACTTCCCACTCCTCTGAAGAGGAAAAGCAGCAGCACAAAGATCCACAGGAAAGATCTCTGGGAATGCACCTTCCTGCCAGACGCCAGCAGTGGGGACTCAACTCACCCTCTGAGTCCACTTGCAGAGAAGGCCTCCATGGGATGGGGAAAATAATACCCAAGTCCTGACGGCACGTCTTACCTTGCTACCCAACACAGGTTCCGGGTGGATCAGGAAGCACTTGTTTAATGAGACGTCTTTTGGAAATGGAAGTTGGGTTAAAACAGGAAAAAGCTCCCGTAAAATTTGTGATCTGTTTAGAGGTCTCCTCCTGAAAAGTGTGAAAAGAAACAAGTCACCAGCCAGGTCAGCCTGCTCATCTGCAGGAGGGACAGACCATGGCGGCAGGTGCAGAGGAGAGAGCTGAACTATGTCTTTTGCACTTTTTTAAAAAAAAAAAAAAATTTAAAAAAATGTTTTATTTCTGTAGTTGGGAATGGTGGCGCATGCCTTCAATCCCAGCACTTGGGAGGCAGAGACAAGTGGAGCTCTGAGTTTGAGGTCAGCTGGTCTACAGAGAGAGTAGAGCTACAAAGCGAGCCCTGTCTCGATAGATACATGAGATATGTGTGTCTGTGAGGGTATGCCATGTGTGTGCGGGTGCCCACAGGGGCCAGACAGGGAGTTATGTACTGTGGCTCTGGGGACCAAGGCCAGGTCCTCTGGAGCAGCACACCCTAACTGTCTTCTCAGACCGTCTGATTTTTTTGGAACAGTTCATGGATCCCAGCTGGCCTCCTACTCACTTTGTAGCTGAGGCTAATAACTTTATCTGATCCTGCCGCCTCCACAGTCCGGTGCTGCGATTACCCAGCAGGACCATGTCTCAGCATCAGATCCATGGGGACAGTCATGCAGTATGAATAGTACCATACACGCTCACCAAGAGAAGGCCTATAGGTAGTTATCGGGGTGGGTATAATGCTAAGTTCCAGCAGAAGCAATACAAAGAATAAGAATCAACTCATTGTATCTTAAAAAGGAAGCGGAAGTAACAGCAGGCTAGCTGCAGGGAGAGAGACTGAAGGAGAGAGGAGGAAGGGACCAAAGGCAGGACTTTTCTTTGAGGCAGAATAGGAGACAGTGGGCAGCCATTCTATCACACAGGACGATGACAAGTATAGAGAAAGGTGGGAGGCCAGGGAGACGGTTCAGCAGGCTGAGGAACTTATGTGTAGGCCTGACAACCTGAGTTTCACCCTTGGGTCTCATAAAGTGTCAGGGGGAATCAACTCCTGAGAGCTGTCCTCTGACCCCACAACTGAGGAGGGCCTAGTGAGGGCTCAGAGGCTAAGAGCTTATTCTCTCAGAGCACATGCGCAGTGGCTCATGACCAGCTGTAACTGCAGCTCTAGCACATCTGTTCCTCTGGCCTCGGAGGGCACCTGCACTCATGGTACACATCCCACACACACAATTTAAAATAATAAAAAGCTACATGGTAGGAAGAAATGACTCCTGAACATTGTCCTCTGACACCCATGCACATGCTATGGCACACAGTATCCTCTCTCACACACATACACATATAAATTATGTAAAAAAGAAGGCACAGGTGTTAAGAAATTAGCCAGCAAAGAAGCTGGAGAGATGTCTCAGCAAATACAGGCATCTGCTGCCAGGTCTGAGACCCCGCGGTCCACCCCAGGCCCCACACGATGGAAGGCAAGAACTGCCTTCTACAAGTTGTCCTCTGACCTCCACACATACATGATAGCACGAGCACACACACATGAACATGGTAAACAAATGATAAATATAAAAAGTATTTTAAAAAGAAACTATCCAACAAAACCCTAAGGTGTAATTTTAATTTTCCTTTGAACTAGTTCTCCACAGAGGCTGGCTCTTCCTTTCTCACAGGAGGGAGTCTTAGCCTTAAGAAATGGCCCATGTTTTCTGTCGACACAGAAGGAACTGGAGAGCAAACAGGTTTCCATCGTGAGTGAGCTTGGCAACTGTCTTAACTGTCTGAATCTAATCTTCAATCTGCAAAGTGACTGAGAATCCCACTTTGCACCTTGGCCTGGATGCAGCTCTTGTACCTGCTAAGCTTTCTCCTCAGCCCTCAACCTCCTGACCCTTTTCCTTAGAAGAAACAGTCAGGTTCTGGTGGTTTGAATGAGAATGTCCCTCACAGCCTCAGGCATTTGAATACTTGGTCCTCAAGTGCTGGCACTCTTTGGGGAGGCTTAGGAAGTCTGGCCTTGCTAGAGAAGTCACTCTGAGAGCTTAAAGACTCTGTCTGTCCAGGCAGTGGTGGTGCACATGCCTTTAATTCCAGCACTCAGGGGCGGAGTCAGGTGGATCTCTGGTCTACAGAACTACACTGTAGCCTATTTCCAGGCTACAATGAGAAACCCTGTCTTGAAAACCAAAACCAAAACTAAAACCAAAACCAAAACCAAACCAAACCAAACCAAACAAAAAAATCCCAAAAAACAAGAACAAAAAAAGACTGTCTGCTGGGTCCAGGTGATGGCCTCTCATTGCTCTGGAAACACGGGCCCAGATAAACACGGTATTTGGTCACGGTATTTATCACAGGAGAAAATACTGGATACATGAGCTGCATGGCAGCACCTTCCTTAGGGACCCTGCTCCCTTCTTCCTCCTTGCAGTGCATGGCAGGCTGACCCAGGCTTCTGTCCTTGACTTGAAGGTGTGCTGTGACCTGATCATTTATGGTGCTGGCTCTCACAGCTCTGACACCTGCCCTGCCCCTTCCTCACATGCAAGCTAAGCACCCTCCAGACTCACCACGGGTAAGCAAATGGGAACCACCTCTCAGGAAAGCAGCGCCACCACTTGGTGAGAAACCCCTCAGTGAAGCCCTCTGTGGCTTCAGGGTACTGGCATGAGAAATGCTGAATCTCTGAAGACAACAGAGGCTGCCCTGTCTTGGTGACACAGAAAGACAAAGAAGGCCACAGTGAGTTACCATAGCTTCGCAGGGCTTGATCCGGCCTTTTGTGGGCAGGCTGTTCATAGGAAAACCTGGCTTCTTGCCTACCTTGATCACCAGAGGACGGAGTCTCTCAAAAGTCTTCGGAGTGTCCTCTGGGAGCGTTACTTTGAGGGGGAGTATCTGGGCACAGGCAGTGCAGTTGGCAGGGATGGGTTCTGACTCATTCTGCTCACAGTCACTTGATGACCAGAGGTCAAAGTCTGAGAGGGGAAGAGACAGAGGGCAGACAGGTTCAGAAGGACAGCTGCTGAGCCAGGAACAAACACAGACAGGGAAGGACCAGTCTTCCTCTGGAGATCCCTGTGAGCAGGTCTGGAGGGTGGGGAAGGAGAGGCACTTCTTTCTGTATGATTTTCTATACTGTGGAAATAAAATCTTTTTAACACATACATGCATGTCCTCAATCAAATCACTCAGCAGAGCATAACAGTTACAAACATTTAGCTAAGCCGGGCGGTGGTGGCGCACGCCTTTAATCCCAGCACTCGGGAGACAGAGGCAGAGGCAGGTGGATCTCTGTGAGTTCGAGACCAGCCTGGTCTACAAGAGCTAGTTCCAGGACAGGCTCCAAAACCACAGAGAAACCCTGTCTCAAAAAACCAAAAAAAAAAAAAAACAAAAAAAAAAACAAACAAACATTTAGCTACACCATTCTCCTGTCTCTGACCTGGCCCTGGAATGTCTGAGCACCTCCATCCCAGAGCAGGCAGTACATATGCGCTCCCACACTAGGAAGTCTGAGCACCTCCATCCCGGAGCAGGCAGTACATAGTGCTCCCACACTAGGAAGTCTGAGGACCTCCATCCCGGAGCAGGCAGTACATAGTGCTCCCACACTAGGAAGTCTGAGCACCTCCATCCCGGAGCAGGCAGTACATAGTGCTCCCACACTAGGAAGTCTGAGCACCTCCATCCCGGAGCAGGCAGTACATAGTGCTCCCACACTAGGATGCGTGCACACACTCTGCTGTTCTATGCACACCTGTGTGGAGGCCAGGCCGACTTTGGGAAGGAAGAGTGAGATGAGGGCTGACTCTAAGGCAGAAGGGATAGAGACTTCTCTGGCTGTTTTGGGGAACAGTGAATTGCCTTTGCTTATAAGACAATGCTCCACCTCAACTCGGAAGGGATATGCTGCTACCAATTGCTGCTTCCACTCCAAGGATCGATCATAATGCTGGCAATTGAACCTGGATCCTCTGAAAGAACAGCCAGTGCTCTTAACCACTGAGCCATTTCTCCAGCACTTGTTTTCTGTTTTGTTTTGAGATAGGATCCCTCTATGTAGCCCTGGCTGTCCTGGAGCTTATTATGTAGACCAGGCTGGTTGTGAACTCAGAGATCCACCTGCCTCTGCCTCCAGAGTACTGAGATTAAACAACACCCTCCCTCCCACTTTTGGAGACAGGGTTGTACTATGTAGCTCTGGCTGGCCCGAATCTCACAGAAATCTGCCTCTTAAATTCATGGATTGAAGACATGTGTCACCATGCCTGGTCTTTCTTTTCTTCTTTAGGGTGTTTTGCCATGGATGTCTGGTCCCCTGGAACTGGAGTTACAGACAGAGAGCTGCCATGTGGACATTGGGAACTGAACCTGGGTTCTCTGGAAGAACAGTTAGTGCTCTTAACCACTGAGCCATCTCTCCACACCCCTACCCCTTGGTTTGTAAAGACAATGTCAAATGTCTTACTAGGCAGGTGAGATGGCTTGGGGTGTGCTTTTGGCACAAGCTTGCTAACTAGAGTACAATGGTAGGAGAGAAATGGTTCCAGAAAGTTGTTCTCTGACCTTCCCATGTGCACTGCTGTAACAACACTCACACAAATAAACAAACAAACAGATGATGCTTAAAGAAAAAGAATATCCAACCATGTAGCTCAGATTGGCCATGCCTTAAACTGTGATAACTCTGCCTCAGCCTCCCAAGAGCTGGAATTATAGTTATGTCTGGCTCCAGGATTATACAGTACAACAGTACATGACATAAAGGTGTGTGCATATAAACACCTCACATTGCAGTGATAAACAAAACGTGGACACTAGCCAAATTAAAGAAAGGCATAAAACACAAAATCCTTCAAAAGTACGCAGTGGGATGAATATCAATCCCTCATTCCTATCCTTTCTGGATTTGGAAATTCTATCTTTGCAGACACAGTTATGATGGGTCATACTGATGGAGAATGGGCCTTGAATCTAATCCGAATGATGCCCTTACAGGAAGAGGGGACGCAGGAAACCACAGAGGGAAGACAACGTGTGAAGATGAGGCAGTGAATGGAGCCACAAGCAAGGAAAGTCAAAGCCTCTGCTCCGAGCAGCTGGAAGCAGTGCCAAGGGCTTGTATGGAGCACAGTCCTATCAATGTTCCGTTTCAGATCCTTGCTCCCAGAATTTCCACAGGGTAATTTCTCTTGTTTTGAGCTATCCAGGCTGCCATACTTTATTTTGGTAGCATTAGAAATCAATAGTATGTCTAGGTAACAGTATTATATAAATAAAGATTTTTATGTACACATGATCTAAGGAGGACCATACATATGTATATATCTATGTAAACAAAAGTGGTTTTTAGGCCAAGCGTAGTGGTACACACTTTTGGTAATTCTAGCACTTAGAAGGTTAAGGTAAGACTATCATGAAAGGAATGGGGTAGTGGTGTTCCACACCTTTAATTCCAGCACACAGGAGGCAGAGGCAGGTAGACCTGAGTTCAAGGCCAGCCTATTTAACACAGGAAATTTCAGGTCCACTAAAGATAAAGATTCACAGAGAAATGGTAGAGGGGAAAAGCACTTTAAAAAAAACAAGAATGGCTGTTTGTGTGTGTGTGGTGGAAGAGAATGGTTTGTTTGTATCTGTCTCAAAAGCAAAAATGTAATAAATACTGAAAAAAAAAAACGATCCATAGAGAGCCTCTGTCTCAACAAAAAACAAAAAACAAAAAAAAAAGAAAGAAAGAAAAAAGAAAATTTGCTTCTTAGTCTTTTGGCTAGGCTCATGTATAAAATATTTTAAGTATTTTATTATTGTTTATGTGTGTGGGCATGCTTGCTACAGAATGCATACAGAGGTCAGAGGTCAGAATGGAGTCAGTACTCTTTCTCCACCTTTATATGATTGACAGGATGGCAAGGCAAGCATCCTGACCCCTCTGAGCTGGTTTGCCAGGCCAGAGTATTTTTCTTAAAAACAAACTCTTATGTCTCTTTATGGTCTTTAGACTCATTAGGTATCTCCCATGAAGATCAGGAACACTTAAGCCAGGATTATCAACTAAGACTGAGTCTCTCCTAAGACAGACCTAAGCAGCCCCTGACAGGAGCAGGACAGATACCAGCCTGGTGGCCAGCAAAGCAAGGGGAAAAATGAGGGAAAAGGACCGTAAGGACTGGGTAACACAGCCTACCCACGTCATGAGGGAGAGCTACATTTGCTTACTACACAGCCCTGAGATCACTGAGAAGGAATGGTCAGCCATGGAGTATAGTGGTGAGGGGGCATGGAGGGGCAGGCACGTCACCCCACAGCATCCAAACAGCAGGGAGATGTGGCCAGACTCAGTTGGCCCTCTGTCTCTCCACAAAGGTTTTGTTTGACATTAACAGTGGCAGGATTTGCCAAGCCAGTGGGAAAATGCCAGCAGCAGCAGAGAGGGCACCAAGCCACCCTGGCTCAGAACCTGCCTTCAGCTCTTAAAATGCCACTCTCTGACTCTTTCAGCCGCTGTCCTCCCCCACTTCACCTGCAGCACACAAGGCAGGCAGGCACTCAGCAATTCCCATCTTCCCCTAGTTCCCAGGACTGTTACTCCAGATACCCTCCTCTAACAACTAGCTAGCTCAGAAACCAGGCCAAGGGTCACTGAGACGGGAACACCTTGGAGCCAACTCTCAGGCACAGTCAGACCCCAGCCCATTCTGCAGAATACCAACCTCAAGATAAAAATGACATGTGTTTTCATCGCAAGTTCTCCTACTCGGCTTTTGTTGTTGTTGTTTTCTTTAAAACACTAAAAATGAGCTCAATAAAGCTCATGACCTGTATTTCAAGTTCTCCCCGGGGTCTGGATCATTCCACTGTTTGAAATGTCAAATTCAGTGTACCAGACCAAACACAGCCTTGAAGTGCGTGTGCAGGAACCCTCCCACCCTTTCTCACAGCCGGGCACCTCTGCAGAAGAGTGGGTGGGCTGACCTACTGTGGAGGCCTAGTTGTTGACAAAGAAAACTGGGCACAGCCTAGAATTCTCAGTAGGGAAGGCCTTTCACACACATTATTACCCTGGCAGAAGGCAAGACTAAACCCCTTTCTGGGTAAAGGGCAGCGCAGAAAACAAAAGCACAAAGCTCTTGCTCTGCAGGTGGGGCCTAAGGCGCTCAGGGCTCAGCTGAGAACAGTGCAGGACATACATGGAGGAGGGGGTGGCGCTGACTTTTCAGAACCTTCCCCTGGGGAAGAACATTGGACGAGGAGATTGACACAACCTCAGAAGAATGACGACAAAAACAGCCATGACACACTCATCATGGCTCCCCATGTGATGGAGGTGGGTCTTGTATCTTATCTGTTGCTTTCATTGGTTAACTAATAAAGAAAACTGCTTGGCCTAAAATTAGGCCAAGAAAATTAGGTAGGCGGAGTAAACAGAACAGAATGCTGGGAGAAAGAAGCCGAGTCAAGCAGTCGCCATGATTCTCCCACTCCAGACAGACGCAGGTTAAGATCTTTCCTGGCAAGCCAGCTCGTGGTGCTATACAGAATATTAGAAATGGGTTAGATCAATATGTAAGAGCTAGCCAATAAGAGGCTGGAACTAATGGGCCAAGCAGTGTTTAAAAGAATACAGTTTCCATGTAATTATTTCGGGTAAAGCTAGCCGGGTGGCGGGACGCAACCCCGCCACCGCTTCCTCACTACACCCATGCCCGACCTCCTATTCTAGGGATGTGCTCAGAAGAATCTGCCGAGCCAGTGACAAAGGGCCCTCATTCCCATGGCCTGTGCTCACTATTTCATCAGACTCTGAAAGCTCCTGTTGCACAGGTGACCTTTTCAAGGTGCCCTATGTCGAAGGCAGCATGCCCAGAGCCATTTTCACACAAAGCGGGAATGGACAGGGCAACCTTTCGCCACTCACTTTACTTGAGGAGCACAGCACTGGAGCTATTCCAATAGAGCCCTGTCCGCAAGAGTCCGGCTGTTTCTCTCCAGCTTTAGGCAAGCTAGCCAGTCCCCATCTTAGCACGTCCCACATTCTGAGGTGCCACAAACACTTAAGGGAGTCTGTGAAGGCTGAGAAATGAGCACAAAGACCAAGCGCAGTGTGCAGGTGCTGGTCGGAGCTCTCACCACAGGGGAGCTTATTTGCAAGTAAGAGAGGCAAGGCAGGGCTGGGCAGCTCAGCAGAACTCACTGAGCACCAACAAGGCCTCCAGCACCACAGACCCAAGTATTTCACAGTGGGCTGTGGCATGGACTCTAAGCCTTACTTATTCCTTAGTTCTGAAGCAATGACGGGCCCACCATTTTCCTAACTCCTCGATGACACTGCATCCACGTCCTCCTTCCTCAGAAGGGTCAGAATGCAGTAAGTAGAGACAGCTTCCTACATGAGGGCCAGCCCAGGCCTTCCCAGTGCAAATGTAAGTTCTGACTGAAAACTGTCCACTGGGCTTAATTCAGGTTGTCTGTATGAGTGTATATGGGGGTGTTCCTGCTAGAGCATGGACACCAGTGGCTACCCAGCTGAACCAGCAACACTTAACTGCTCCTCAGGGTGGGCGGGGTCTCTTGAGCCCTCCCCATTTATGATGGAGCGATGCTGGTCCCATCTTGGGTAGGCAGCCATGAGTATCTTTAATGCAAATATTTTCAGTGGCATCCAGAGTCTACGTCAGAAATCTGATAGAAAATGCCAATTAGGGTAAGTGCTCACATTTCCAATAGAATTGCTAACTGTGGTACTAGAAATTGCTGTTCAACTGTATGGCAATAAATAAATATGATGTTTCCTGTCAGTTTAAAAACAAAAAAATCATGGTGCAGAGTTTTGTTTTGTTTTCTTTTTTTTTTTTCGAGACAGGGTTTTGCTGTAGTTTTAGAGTCTGTCCTGAACTAGCTCTTGTAGACCAGGCTGGCCTTGAACTCACAGAGATCTGCCTGCCTCTGCCTCCTGAGTGCTGGGATTAAAGGTGTGCGCTACCACCGTCTGGCGCAGCGTTCTTATCATACAATGTTCCCTTCCTCTGGTTTTGATATGATTTGGAAAACCTTTTCATAACTTCCTCAAATGCATACAGATAGCTTTCAAAGACGACTTTCATGGCTATCAAAGCCAGGCTTAAACGAATGACACTATGATTTTATAAAGGTCAGGGAGAGTCTTTTTCCTGAAACATTTTCTGAGACCCTGGATCCTAAGGCTTCAGAGGAAAGTTATAAAGAAAATGTGGACAAACGAAGTGATACCACAAAAACACGCAACCAACCAAACAAACAAACAAACTAAACAAACAGAAAGCAACCAGGGCTTGAGCAGGTTGGTAAGATGGATCAGTGGGTACAAGTGCTTGTCAGGCAAACCTGACACCTCAAGTTCAGTCCTCAGAACCCCGTCAATAGGCGAACCAACTCCTGAAGCTGTCCTCTACGATCGTGAGTGCTCATTGTACTCATACACACACACACACACACAGGACGTACATGTGCCTATACTCACACACACACAGGACGCACATGTGCCTGTACTCACACACACATGACACACATGTGCCTGTACTCACACACATACACAGGACGCACATGTGCCTGTACTCACACATACATACACAGGACACACATGTGCCTGTACTCACACACACACACAGGACACACATGTGCCTGTACTCACACATACATACACAGGACGCACATGTGCCTGTACTCACATACACACACAGGACACACAAGTGCCTGTACTCACATATACACACACAGGACGCACATGTGCCTGTACTCACACACACCCACAGGACGCACATGTGCCTGTACTTACACACACACACACAGGACGCACATGTGCCTGTACTCACACACACCCACAGGACGCACATGTGCCTGTACTCACACATACATACACAGGACACACATGTGCCTGTACTCACACACACACACAGGACACACATGTGCCTGTACTCACACACATATACAGGACGCACATGTGCCTGTACTCACACATACATACACAGGACACACATGTGCCTGTACTCACACATACATACACAGGACGCACATGTGCCTGTACTCACACACACACACAGGACGCACATGTGCCTATACTCACACACATATACAGGACGCACATGTGCCTGTACTCACACATACATACACAGGACACACATGTGCCTGTACTCACACACACACACAGGACACACATGTGCCTGTATTCACATACACATACACAGGACGCACATGTGCCTGTATTCACATACACATACACAGGACGCACATGTGCCTGTATTCACATACACATACACAGGACGCACATGTGCCTGTACTCACACACACATACACAGGACGCACATGTGCCTGTATTCACATACACATACACAGGACGCACACGTATCTGTATTCACATACACATACACAGGACGCACATGTGCCTGTACTCACATATACACACAGGACGCACATGTGCCTGTAATCACACATACATACACAGGACGCACATGTGCCTGTACTCACACACATACACAGGACGCACATGTGCCTGTACTCACACATACATACACAGGACACACATGTGCCTGTACTCACATACACACAGGACGCACATGTGCCTGTACTCACACATACATACACAGGACACACATGTGCCTGTACTCACACACACACACAGGACACACATGTGCCTGTATTCACATACACATACACAGGACGCACATGTGCCTGTATTCACATACACATACACAGGACGCACATGTGCCTGTATTCACATACACATACACAGGACGCACATGTGTCTGTATTCACATACACACACAGGACGCACATGTGCCTGTACTCACACATACATACACAGGACGCACATGTGCCTGTACTCACACATACATACACAGGACGCACATGTGCCTGTACTCACACACACACACAGAACACACATGTGCCTGGACTCACACACATACACAGGACGCACATGTGCCTGTACTCACACATACATACACAGGACACACATGTGCCTGTACTCACACATACATACACAGGACGCACATGTGCCTGTACTCACACATACACACAGGACGCACATGTGCCTGTATTCACATACACACACAGGACGCACATGTGCCTGTATTCACATACACACACAGGATGCACATGTGCCTGTATTCACATACACACATAGGACGCACATGTGCCTGTACTCACATACACATACACAGGATGCACATGTGCCTGTACTCACACACACACACAGGACGCACATGTACCTGTACTCACACACACATATACATGATGCACATGATACTAATAAATTTTTTTTCAAAATCTAAAGGGGGATTGGGAGTATAGTTCTAGTCTTGACTGTCCAAAGGCCTGGTTTTAATCTTCAGCGTGGAAAAGGAGAAAGAGAAGATAAGACTCAGATCCCAAATACCCTGAGCAACAGCCTTCCTTCTATGCTTTCTCAAAATGTAGGGTTTTTTTTTAAATATTTATTTATTTATTATGTGTACAGCATTCCTTCCATGTGTGCCCGCAAGGCAGAAGGGGGTGCCAGGTCTCATTATAGATGGCTATGAGCCACCATGTGGTTGCTGGGAATTGAACTCAGGACCTCTGGAAGAGCAGTCGGTGCTCTTAACCTCTGAGCCATCTCTCCAGCCCTCAAAACGTAGGTTTGACGTGATCCCTTATGACACTGTTTTCTAACCGAGTCCCTGTGGCTCCATGATTGTTAAAGTGTCTCTTGACCTGGTTGTGGGGAAAACTGCCATCCCCTGGAGCTGCATTAATACCGTGACTTACTGTGGTAGTGATAAAGAGCAAGGTGAGAGGGACAGCCCAGTAGGACAAAGCAGGGCGAGGGCCTGGTTAGAGCTAGCCACCACACGCAGAAACCCCAGGGGAGAGGGTCTAGAGAGAGGGCAGCCCTTCTGCAGACTCCATCCCTAACATTAGAGAATTTGAATCTGGCTCCACCAGACATGTTTCTCGAGCAAGTTTAACTTCTCTGTGCCTTAGATTTCCTGTCTGCAAAATATGAATAATACAATTCATCTCACAGTCTTAGCAATGACAGAATGAGGACGATATTAGAAAGATGTCTCTTATTAGATACCAATAAATCATTTTCTATTAAGTATCATCAAGAAAAGTGGATCTCAGCACTGGTGGGACTGAGGCCAGCCTGAGGCTCAAATCAAGTTCTAGGACAGGTCCAGCAACATGAGACTCTATCTTAAACACAACAATTAAACAAAAAGAACACCCATCTCTAAGTGCAGCCTTCTACCTGCGAAGGGTTTGTCTTCCTCTCCACGTTGCAGAGGAACGCCCTTAGTCTCTGACATATACTTCTTGGCGATGGGCAAGGACATCAGCCGAATGTGATGGATGAGTGAACGCCAGGTGTGAGCTCCTGAAAGCACTGGCTCAGGTGCTAACGAGCTAAAAGGTTGAATTATAAAGTAGGCAGCGAACAAGATTAATCCCAGAGTTAGGAGGACCTAGAAGGAAAGACAAGAGTGGCATTAAGAATTGCCCCAACAAGAAAGTTCCATATATAACACTGAGGAGAAAAGCAAGCCTCTTCTGCTATTTCCAGTATACCTAGAATTGATCCACTTTCATAACCGAGCCATTTGCTTGCTCTCCAAAGGCGGTCAAAGCTCGAGAGCTGTGAGGCCTGCAAGGCTCCCCAAGCTTCCACCCCACAACCAGGGGCTATGCTCACTACACACACAGCTTTCACTTCACATCACAAAAGTCACATTTCCTAGCAACAGACAGCAAGGATAATGGCTGGTTTATGCTAGGAAAACCTAGTTCAGAGCTGGGTGGTTGGTGGTGCACAACTTTAATCCCAGCACTGGGGGATACGGGCAGAGGCAGGTGGATCTCTGTGAGTTCAAGGCCAGTCAGGACAGGTTCTAAAGCTACAGAGAAACCTTGTCTCAAAAACTCAAAAACAAAAACAAAGAAACAACAACAACAACAAAAAAAAAAACCCCACCTAGTTCAGTACTGGATCAGTCAGCAGTTACAGGAAGGGAAGCTGAAGCCCTTGAGATAGGCTCTACAAGCAACACTTTACCTTATATATGGCTAAGAGGAGAGGGTACTGGGGTGGTCCCCTTTGAGGTTCATTCTTCTCCAGCAGCCGTCTGATAAATTTTTCGATCGCCTTTTCTGACATTCCACACTGATGGCCTGTCTGTCTCACCAGATCAACGGTCTCTGAAAGCTTGTCATAGATGCTGATCTCATTAGCAGCAAGATCCATGTCTTCCAAGATGAAATCCCTGGAGAGAACAAAGGACAACGAGCTTCTTTCTTCTTCTTCCTTTTTTTTTTTTTTTTGAGATAGGGTTTCTCTATGTAGCCCTGGCTGTCCTGAAACTCACTCTGTAGACCATGCTGGCCTCCATAATGCTGGTATTAAAGGTGTGAGCCGCCACCACCTGGCAAATGACAGTTTCTTTTCTTTCTTTTTGTTTTTTTCTAAGACAGGGTTCCTCTATATAACAGTCTTGGCTGTCCTAGAACTCACAGAGATCCGGGATTAAAGGCATGCACCACCACCGCCCAGCAGATGACAGTTTCTTTAAAAATGCTTCCTGCCCAACAATGTTTCTTGACCCTGAAGCAACAAATTTTGTGTTTTTACTCCCAAACTACAGCAGACCAAACACAATGAGCATGGAAAGACAATGTCTACACTTTTCTTTTTTTTAATTTATTCTATTTTTTAAATTTTATTTATATATTTTTATGTGCTCTGCATGTACACCTGCAGGCCAGAAGAGGGCATGAAATCCTAATACCAATGGTTGTAGCCACCATGTGGTTGCCGGGAACTGAAGACAGGACCTCCGGAAGAGCAGCCAGTGCTCTTAACCTCTGAGCCATCTCTCCAGCCCCTCCCTGTACAATACTTTTCAAACTATCGCTTTGTTTTCTGTTTTGAGACCGTATCTTGTTATGTTGCTCAGGGTATTAGAATTCTCAGGCTTGAGTGATTTTCTTGACTTAGTTTCTCCAATGCTGAGATTACAGTCCCAGACAGGTCACTGCATCCAGTTTATGCATGACTCATAAAATGTCATTTAACCAGGCTGTGCACGGTAAGGCACATCTTTAATCCCAGCACTCGGGAGGCAGCGGCAAGTGGATCTGTGTGAGTTCCAAGCCAGCCTGATCTATAGAGTTCCAGGCCAGTCAGGGCTACACAGTTAAACCTCAAAAAAGAATTTTTTTTTTTAAAAAAAATATTATGTGCATTGGTTTTGCCATGGGTGTCAGGTCCCCTAGAACTGGAGTTACAGACAGTTGTGAACTGTGATGTGGGTGCTGGGAATTGAACCCAGGTCCTCTGGAAAAGCAGACAAGTGCTTTTAACTGCTGAGCCATCTCGCCAGCAAATATGGGACCCCCAAATTTTTAAATTAAATACATTCAACATTTTTTTCATATAGGAGGAACCAAGCTTAGGATTCCTCCCCCGCCCCTTAAAAGCAGAGGGTCCTCTTGGTTGCCTATTCAGTCTCAAAGTACTTCTAACCCTGACAACTCCTGGCATGGAGCATGTGGGATCTTCAGTAAGAAGATGCTGCACCTGTCAAGCAGCCGAGCAGCTCCACAGAGCAGACACCTGACATGTTACTGCTCAGGACACACGAGTGCACTCCTTTTTCCCTCTGTGCCTCCTGCCTCCCTTGGGCATCTTCAGATAGCCTCCTTTCTGCCTAAACACTTGGTCCACTGCTCTGAACACAGCCTGCACATCAGAATCTCCTAGAGAGCCTACAAGGTAGATCCAACCTGCTCCTCTTGTGGGCTGCTGTGCTCACACCACTAGCAGGCAGGGGTCCACAGAGTTTTCACGGAGCTCTGCTCCTGACTTTAGAACGCAGCTACCCCAGGGGATGGGAGGTGGTGGCTCACTGCGGTTTTGATCTGTATTTCTCTGAAGGTTGGTGATGTTGAGCATCTTCTTGGGTGCTCATAGGCCACTGAGAGTCCCCTTCTACAGGAAGAGCTGTCTCATTATTAATCTGAAGGAATTTTCAGTGTGCTCTGTCCTGGACAGCAGGCCCTTACCAGACATTGCAAACATTCCCTTCAGACATCTAAGCTTGCCCTCTTCCTGTTGGCAATACTAGGGTTGAACCAAAGGCTCAGTTCTATTTCACTTTCTTTCTTTCTGCCTCTTTAAAGATTTTTGCTTGTTTTTTGTTTTTTTTATTATTTATTTATTATGTATACAATATTCTGTGTGCATGTCTGCAGGCCAGAAGAGGGCACCAGACCTCTTTACAGATGGTTGTGAGCCACCATGTGGATGCCGGGAATTGAACTCAGGACCTTTGAAAGAGCAGGCAATGCTCTTAACCACTGAGCCATCTCTCCAGCCCTGTTTTTTGTTTTTTTGCTTTTTTTTTTGTTTTATTTTGTTTTGTTTTTCGAGACAGGGTTTCTCCGTGTATCTCTGGCTGTCCTGGAGCTCTGTAGACCAGGCTGGCCTCAAACTCACAGAGATCCGCCTGCCTCTGCCTCCCTGAGTGCTATGATTAAAGGTATGTGCCACCACCGCCTGGCTTCTTTCTGTCTCTTAAAAAAAAATTATTTAGTCATTAAAAGAAAAGTCTCATAAAGCCCAGCCTGGCCTCAAACTTGATGTGTAGCAAAGGCCTTCCTTGAATTCTAATCCTTTGGTGTGCACCACCATAGCAGATTCTATTTGACTTCCTTTTTGTACCTTTCTTCTTTTTTTTAAGTTTATAAATGTGTGTGTGCACATATGTGTGCACGCACACATGTGCACGCACAGGTGACTGTGGAGAGCAGAAGTTTAGCACTGCACACACTGGATCTGTAAGAGCCCCGCCCCCCAATTTCATTCTCTTGATGGCTTTTTTTGTACCACAGCTTCTACACTCTGCAGAGGTCCAAATTCTCCCTTTGCTACTTGTGCTTCTGCATCACACGGGAGAAACCAGTGCCTAGGTCAATCTCACGGAGTTGTTTTTTTTTTTTAATTTTTAAAGGTTATTTTATGTATATGGGTGCATGGCTGCATGCCCTATGTGTGCATGGTACACTCAGAGACCAGAGGATGGCACCAGATCCCCTGGTATAGGAGCGACAGACAGTCGTAAGTCACTATGTGTGTACTGGGTATATAACCCAGGCCCTCTGGAAGAGAAATCAGTGCTCTTAACCACTGAGTCATCTCTCCAGCCACAAAGAGGTTTTTCTTTAAGTTTTCTTCTAAGAGCTTTTTTTTTTTAATTTCATTATTATTATTTTGCTTTTGAGACTGGGTTTTTCTGTGTAGCCGTGGCTGTCCTGGAACTCACTCTGTAGACCAGGCTAACCTCAAACTCAAAAAAATTTGCCTGCCTCTGCTTCCTAAGTGCTGGGATTAAAGGCGTGCACCACCATTGCCTGGCTCTAGAAGTTTTATAATTTTATCTTATATATTTAGTTTTCTGAACCACCTTAAATTTTATTTTTGTGTGATATAAAGGAAGATCCAACTTCATTCTCTTACAATGGATATCCCATTGGTCCACTACCAGTGGCTGAAGACGTGTGTTTGTGTGTGTGTGTGTGTGTCTGTGTGTTATGTAATACTGGAGACTGAACCCAGGGCCTCACGTATGCTAGGTAAGCACTCTACTACTGATCCTCCTGCCTCAGCCTTTTGAGGGCTTTTAATCTTAGTACCTAGAATGCTGAGACAGAAAGATTAAGATTTCAAGGTCAATCTGGGCTTAGCTACACATCAAATACAAACCAGCCTGGGCTACATAGAGAAACCCTGTTTTACTGTTTGTTTGTTTTTAAAGGAATACACATGTACCATGTCAGTAAGTTTTGAAGTTAAAATCATTTGGGAAATAAAGTGTGTGAAACAAGAACTGGAAAAAAAAACAAACCCAAAAACAGAAGCTACTAATGGAAATGTAAAAGTACAGGCACTGTGGAAAAACAGCTGTCAGTTTACAAAGTTAGACAATGAGTTAACATGTCATATAACAATTCTACTCACAGGTATGTACCCAAGAGAACTCAAAACATATGTCCACACAAATACTGGAAGACAAATGTTAGCAGTGGCATTATTCACAACAGTCCTAAACCAGAAGCAATTCAATGAAGCAATGAAGTCAGGAAAAAGTGTGATACAGCCACTTACAGACTATCACAGGACAATAAAAAGTGATGGCGTACTAATACGAGCTATGTGGCCCAGCCTTGAAAACACCGTGACAAGTGGAAGACAACCACAGAGACCACCCAGAGGGCAAGCGAGTCTACAAATAAAAAGTGGACTGATGCTTGCTTGGAGAAAAGAGTGGAGAGATCCAAGGATAACGGCAGTAGCTGGAGGCCCTCTCTCCAGAGTGACAAAATGTCCTCATCTTGAATGCCAATGACGGCTATACAAATTGTGAGCATAAACCATGCTTTTCACGTGGGTGAACTCTGTGACATATAAATTATATCTTAATAAAGGTCTAGTGTAAGTTTATGAATCTGAACTTAGCTCTGCTGTGGCATTTTTTATTTTACACTGCATTTTCTTTCCTATTGCCCAGACACTGGCCTCTGAGGTCTATGAGGGCAGGCCACAGACAGTGCATATCCTTACCAGAGGTCAATGTCTGGTGCATATAATAAAGACGTGCATATACGTGGTGACAAAGAGAATGATAAACTAGCTGAGGATCAGCAAAACAAATTATAAAAGGATTCTTCTAGAAGTCTACTGTCTGGGGAGGTGGCTCAGTTGGCAGTGCTTGCCTAGCATTCATGGGGCCCTAGGGTCAATCCTTAGCACTGAGTAAACAGGGGCATGGCGACACACATCTGTATGGTGGAAACAGAGGGACCAGGAGTTTACCCTCGGCTCACAGAATGTCTAGGGCAGGCCAGGAACTCACAGATATCCTCCTGTCTCTGGCCTGGGATCAAAAGCATACATTACAAAAAATAAATAAATAAATAAAATAAAAGCTGGGCGATAGTGGTGCACGCCTTTAATCCCAGCACTCGGGAGGCAGAGGCAGGCGGATCTCTGTGAGTTCGAGACCAGCCTGGTCTACAAGAGCTAGTTCCAGGACAGGCTCCAAAACCACAGAGAAACCCTGTCTCAAAACAAACAAACAAACAAACAAAACCAAAAAACAAAAACAAAAACAAAAGCACACATTAGGGCTGGAGTGATGGTTTGGTGGTTAAAAGCACTGGCTTCTCCAGAGGACCTGGGTTTGATTCATAGTATCTACAGGGGCCCACCACTATCAAGAGCTCCAGTCCCAGGGGATCTGATGCCCCATCTGGCCTCTAAGGATACTGCAATAAGGCACAGATACACAGGCAGGCAAAACACCCATGCACACTAAAAAATAAAATATTTTAAAGATAAAGGCATTTTAAAGGCATCTACCACTATGCCCAGCCCTCCAATGGAGATTCTTTTACTGCATGTGTTCCCAGTTATAAACTACTTGTTAGTGTGTGCAGACTAGAACAATCATTACAAGTCACCAGTTCAATGCTTTAATTTCTGGGTGAAAAGATGCATCTGAAGCCAGCTGCACCCGCACTTCGTCTGGACCTCATTCCTTCCACAAAGCTACTCTCGATGAGCAAGCAGGAGGGACTAGAGGGCGTCAAACCAAACAAACGAAAATGCAGTATTTCAATCCAAGTACTGGTGGCACAAACCTTGTGATCTTAGCACAAGTGGGCGGGGTTGGGAGCTGAGGATGTAGCTCAGTCAGCAAAGTTTGCTCACTATATACAAAGCCCTGGGTTCCAGAACTGTAAGAAACAGCACTTGGAAGGCAGGAGGATCAGAAGTTCAAGGTCATTCTGGCTACAAAGCAAGTTCAAGGCCAGCCTGGAACACATAAACCCCCAACCTTCCCCCAAACAAAATTAGGGACATTTCCAAAGATTAATAAGGGGATCTCTGTAATGATTTTGTAATCATAAAAATCCTACTGCTATTCCTTTTTTTAAAAAAAAATATTTCATTAATTATGTATACAATGTTCTGCCTGTATGTCAGAAGAGGGCACCAAATGTCATTCCAGATGGTTGTGAGCCACCATGTAGTTGCTAGGAATTGCACTCAGGACCTCTGGAAGAGGAGCTCTGAGCCATCTCTCCAGCCCCATATTGCTACTCTTATAGAGCATCACTAGGCACAAAAGCAACGAGGGCTGTGAAGGAAAGATAGCTATGGTACACCACAGCACTCCAGTAACTGCCACAGAAAACACAAGGTGGCAAGGACAGGGCTCTGGGTTCAACCCCAGAACACATTCAAAGGGAATAAAATGATAATAATACCATGTGATTCTTTTGTGACTAGTGATTGCAGAAACAGCAGTTTCCTGTTTAAACTGGAGACTCTAAGAATTATCAGGGAGAATATCATTGGTTGGGTATAACATTAATTAGCTAACAGCAATCCTGCCCATTTAGACGCATGAAACACAAAGTCACCGCTGAGCACTGAGCACGAGCAGGAGTAATCAGCTGAGACCTGAAGACAGACAATCCATTTACCTCCAGAAAGGGGGTCCAGCCTGGCAGAAAGGAGCTTTGTCTCGGAGGGAAGTTCGGAAGAATGAGCTCGACTCTTTAACAGTGGTTTAACCCTGCAAGGGCACAGGAGGGTCACCAGGGGGTTAGGAAACCAAGGCCTCTGTCCCACCCTTGACAAACAGTCGTCCTCTGTTGGCGATGGGGAAGATGTTCCTAGACACCCAGCGCAAGCCTGAAACCACATTGTACTGAACTGTTAGACACACCACGTTTTCGTGTGCACTTATAAGTAAGTTCAATTTACAAATTCAGCAGTGAAATAGCAACAATAAATACTAATGAAATAGATAATATACTCTAATAAGGTCACATGACTTTAGTCTCACTCCTAAAATGTCTTGTACTTACCCTTCTAATGATGCTGGGATGGGCTAACCGCCTACACAAGTCACATGAGGTGAAGGACATGGACATCAGGGGTTACCCTTGGGACAAGACACTGTTATGTTACTAACAAGCAGGTGGCAGGCGCAGGCACACTGAACAAGTGATGACTGCCTCAGGCAGGTGAGTGTGAGAGTTCAGCATGCTACTCAGGAGGGCACACTGAAAATGTACGCACTGCAGGTACTAAAGCCAGATATGGGAGACTATTGGACTGAGAGTGACAAGCTCTGGGAGTGGGACTCGACACAAGGCTATCAGTCTTCCCCGCTGATTAAAGGCACAGTCCGAGGCCAGCTAGCTCAACAGAAGAGCCTCAGTTCAATCCCCAGCACTGTAAAACCAACGAAGTAACAAAGGAACACTCCCTTTAAAGGAGTTTACTTTAGGACAGCAGCTCTCAATCAAGTGATTCTGTTCTTGGGGGACATTTGGTGATGTCTAAAGGGGTTTCCCCTATATTTACTGTCAAAATTAGATCAAAAGTAGAAGAGTCCTATTGGCCTCTAGTGGGTAAGGGCCAGCATCACACAGGACCCAGACAGTCCTCCACAATGAAGAATGGTCCTTCTCAAAGAAAAAAGAACTGAGCCTGGTTTTCAAGAGTCCTGCCAGGGGCGAGCCAGGGTGCTGGTTCGCAGTGGAGAGGGACCTCAGGAACAGAAGCCGGGCAGTTCTGATGAGATATTCCCCACAACTCCACCTGGGCCTCAGTCCCTGTGGAAATAGCATAGCATAGGAGCATGGCTCACGGGACTGCTGGGAAAAACTTGTCAGCAAAGAGTTGACAGAAGAACTGAACATGGTGGCACTGTGAGTTCCAGGCCATTCTCAGTTATAAATCGAGTTCGGGACCATCTTGGGTTATGTAAGATCCTGATTCAAAAACCAAACAAGCTGGGCGGTGGTGGCGCAAGCCTTTAATCTAGCACTCGGGAGGCAGAGGCAGGTGGATCTCTGTGAGTTCGAGTCCAGCCTGGTCTACAAGAGCTAGTTCTAGGACAGACTCCATAGCTACAGAGAAATCCTGTCTCGAAACGAAAGAAAGAAAGAAAGAAAGAAAGAAAGAAAGAAAGAAAGAAAGAAAAAACCAGGGGATAAAGAAAGGGCTCATCAATTAAGAACACTTGCTGCTCTTGCAGAGAACCTGGATTTGGTTCCCAGCATCCACATCATGGCTCACAACCACCTGTAACTCTAATTCTTCTGACCTCTACAGGGACTACACGCATAAGGTGTGTGTGTGTGTGTGTATAAAATAAAGTCATATGAATTTAGTCTCACTCCTAAAATGTTTTGTACTTACCATTCTTAAGATGCTTTGATGGGCTAAATGCCTACACAAATCATGTGAGGTGAAGGACACAGGCATCTCACACTAAGTAAACATTATAATCAAAGTCAAACAAGTTTGAGGAAGGCAGAAAAATGGCTAAGAAAGCAGAATAAATATTGTCACTTTTGCACCAGCCTGACAAGTGACGTGTCCTAAACACTGACATGAACAGCTGTGACTGACCTGCAACTCTAAGATACGATGCTGATCCAATGATGCTTTAGCTGTAAAGCACACATTCCAGCTGAGGACAGTAAGAACAATACTCAGAGAAATTCTCTCTCCTGTTTGGCTCCCTAGATGGCTGTGGGGTGTGCTGTACACTCTTCATGAATACATTCCATTCAGTGCCATCCCAAGGTTCTCATGACTGAAGACAGATTCTACAGAGAGAACAATGCATCTAACAGATTGCAATTAAAAACTACCAAGAGCCAGGTGTGATGGTGTATGATTTTAATCCCAGCACTTGGGGGGAAGAAACAGGTGAGTTCAAGAAACTCTGTGAGTTCAAGGCCAGACTGGACTATAGAGTGAATTCTAGGACAGTCAGTACAGTGATATTTTATTTGTGTTTTAACAAATAAAGCTTGCCTGAAGATCAGAGTGCAGAGCTAGCCACACTACACACACACACACACACACACACACACACACACACAGTGTTGTCTGCATGTTTGCCTGCAGGCCAGAAGAGGGCACCAGATCTCATGACAGATAGTTGTGAGCCACCATGTGGTTGCTGGGAATTGAACTCATGACCTCTGGAAGAGCAGCCAATGATCTTAACCTCTGAGCCATCTTTCCAGAGAGCTAGCCACACTAGTTAGTCATACAGGACAGGCAGTGGTAACATACACCTTTAATGCCAGCATCCACACTAGTTAGCCATACAGGCCAGGCAGTGGTGGTACACACCAGCACTAGAGAGGAATATAGGGTGGGATGAGACAGGAACTATCTTTCAGTGTGAAGATTTTGTAGAGGTAAGAGCTCTCTAGTGGTTGGCTGCTTTCCTTTTTTGATCTTCAGCTTGAACCCCAACATCTATCTCTAGGTTTTTATTATTTGTGCTACATCAAAACTACACAGAGAGATCTTGCCTCAAAATAAATAAATAAACAAATAAAAACACAAACAAGAACAAGAAAAACTAAACATATTTAAGGGGAAATAACTGATAAAACATTAAAATGATTTATGTGATTTAAACAGTAGTAATTTAAACTGTAAGTACTTGAAATTTATAGCACTGTAAATTTTCACCATTGGTAAGCACGAAAGTAGAAAATAACACGGGCATGTTGGAAACGGACAACAGATTGTTAGCCTCCAGCAATCCTGCGGGTAGCTATATATTCAAAGGAAATGAAGCATGGGTTTTGAGGAGCTACCTGCACCCCCAAGCTCACTGCAACACTCTTTACAATAGCCCAGACAGAAGCAACCCAGAGTTCACTCATAGGTTAGTGGAGTTGATTTCCACTAGTTTACAGAAGGTGGATATAAATACAATGGGAAGTTAGTTAGTCTCTGAAAGGGAAGTCTCAAGAACACCAACAATATAGTGCCATTGCAGACTAATATAAACTAGTTAAACACAAACAAACCCTGAAATGGCCATTGTAGGGGCTAGGTAAACACAAGAAAAATGAGTCAAAGATTAGAAAGTTTTAGGAGGCTACCAAGATGGCCCAGTTGGCAAAGTGGCTTGCTGCCACCCCTGATAACCCAAGTTTGAGCTCCAGGACCCTCATGGTGAAAGAGAGTGCCAAGTCCTGCAGGTTGTCCTCTGACCTCCACTTACGCTCCATGGCAGGTGTGCACTCATACACATACGCTGTACACACAAAATAAATAAATGCAGTAAGGGTTTAGTCATAAATGAAAAATAAATTACAGAGCCTAGGGCTAATACTATATTCCATACTAAAACTACACTTTGAATACAGCCTAGTGATTGAGCACCTGCCTAGCACACAGAAAGACCTGGGTTCAATCCTCAAGACACAGACAAAAACAAAATAATGGGGTTGGGGAGATGACTCTGAAGACATGAGCGCTTGCTATGCAAACCTAAAGACCCAAGTTCAATGTCTGGAACCCACAGGAAAAAAATGCCAGATACAGTGGTAGGTACTCCTGTGGATAGATGGGTAGCAGGGGTTAGCCTCAAAGAGGAAGAAGAAAACTGACTCCCCAAAAGTCGACCTCTGACCTCCACATGTGCTCCATGTGTGTATCTGCACTCACACAGTAAACTAAACAAACCTTTGAAAATAAAAGCTTTTTTTTTTAAATGCTAAAATAGATCTTGCAAGAGGAAACCTTTTGGGATGATGGACAGGCAAGGGCTGTGTGGCAGTTTCAGTGTCTCCAGCCACACCAGGCTGCATAATTTAAGCATATACAGCTTTCTATATGTTGAATATACTCAGGAGTTTAACATGCCAGGCATGGTGATGCATTCCTATAAATTCAGTGAGTTCAGGATAGCCTAGTTTACACATAGAGTTCCAAGACAGCGAGGGCTACAGAGACTTTGTCTCAAAAAAACCAAAAACAGGTGGGGAGTAAAGCACAAAGAGATTACAATCAAGAAACACATTTTTTGCATTCTATCATGTGATCTGATGACCGTCTTTCCAGGCATCTCTGTCTGGCAAGACTTGAGGTTCTCTGTTTGTTTTTCAAATGCTTCTGCACTCTTGGCAGCTCTAGCCCTTCCTAACTTGAGAGAAAACAGCTACCCCACAGATACACTCTCATTTCTATATTTTCACCCAAACTTTTCATTTTGAAAGATTTCCAACATCTGAAAAACAGAAAGACCAATAAACACACACATTCACTTAAGACCTATCTGTTGTCAACATTGGTACACACCCTCTGTTCCTGTTTTTATCAGAATCATTTGAATTAACTATGACACATAATTATATTACCTCTAGACATTTCATCATTCCATAGTAAGAATTTCCTAGGTAACAATAAGCATGCTTCATTACCACCTTCGCTAAAACAACTAATTCTCTAACGTTACCTAATGTTGGGTATGTAGTTGGATCTCTCCCCCTCACACATGTGCGCGCGCGCACACACACACACACACACGCACACGCACACACACTACTGAACTTGACTGCTGGCTCTCATCACGCACACACACTACTGAACTTGACTGCTGGCTCTCATCACACACACACACGCACACACACTACTGAACTTGACTGCTGGCTCTCACCTATCCAGTACAGAACATCCCTAATGTTGGGTATGTAGTTGGATCTCTCCCCCTTACACACGCACACACGCGCACGCACACACTACTGA